GATTACAAACATGAGCCATTTGCCTTGGCTTTCTACTGATTCTTAAGGCTATAGTGAGATGATCATATCCACAGCCAATATGATTATTCAGAATCTTCCTTTCTCATAAATGCTAATATTTCTTTCATATTAAATATTGGAGGTGAAAAATATTGCTGCAATTTTTTTGTTTGTGCTTCATTCTTAGCAACGTAGAATGTTCATTCTCAAGCTTTCTGCCAGAAAACCTGTGACCAGGCTGCTGGTTCAGCTACTATCTAGATTCAAAGAAGAGGAATAATACTCAAAGCAAGTAGCTTGAAGGGCATAAATTAGGGTCTTTCTTCTGATCCTTGGATCAGAGACCTTCAAAGGACAACTGTTTTGTGTCACCTTAGTCCTACTGCATTGTTGACCTGGAGTTGTGCTTTGCCTTTCTCATTTGACTTACATGAAAGACATTTTAAATCACCTGCAAAACCTGACTCCATTGCTGTGGGCCCGAGACAAGGTTGAACATCAAGGTAGAAAGCATGTGTTGGAATGGAGTAGCTCACTTTATGGTGGACAGGAAGTTGAGACAGAGTGGTAGGGGCCAAGGGCAAGGTCTATCTTTCTAGAGCATATCCTCAGGAATCTGCTTCCTCCTAAAGTGGGAACTTTAGGACGAATTTTCTCACCACCTCCTCACCAGCTAGAGACTAAGCTTCAATTCATGAGACTTTAGGGGACATTTTATATTAAAGCCATAACAGTAGTCTAAATAATAGAAAGATCCTTGACAGAAATGGCTTTGCTACTATAGTCCCACACAAAGCAATTGGTTGATGTTAGTCACTAATGTTAGATTTCTGCATCTCTGATCCTTGAAATCATATGGTGGTCAGGCCCAATGACTGACAAACAAACAAAGACAAAAAGGGCAGACTGAATCTCGTATCCTCTTGTGGAAAAGTATCTTGTTATTACAGCATTGGCTGTATGGACAAGAATAGCTACGCAATAACTATTCTGAATTTATTACAAAACTGAAAAATGTGCATCAAAAATCTCAGGGTGTGTTGGCATATGCCTGTAATCACAGCTTCTTAGGAGGTTGAGATAAAGAAAATCACAGCCTGGGCAAAAAGTGAGAGCCCAACTCATCAAGTCAGTAGTGACAGAACACTTTTATAATACCAGCAGAGGTAAAAGAATTGTGGATCTAAAACTTGCCCTGGGCAAAAACTACAAGATTCTATCCAAAGAAGAAATTAGTACAAGAACTAGGGCTGAAGGTATGCTCAAGCCTGCTCAAGAAAGGCTCACAATGCCTTCCTAGGAACTAGAAGGCCCTAAACTCAAATCCTATTCTTTTCAATAGGAAATTTCATTCAGGGCTGTAGTCAAGAGTAGCTATATTCTATAGCTTGCTCATTTAGGGGAATCGCATCTGGGAATCACTGAATTTCCTTTTTCTCTCCCAAAATGAGAAGCTCACAACAAAATTGACTACTAAACCCAAGTACTTAGTCAGTAATTACTCTAATTATCACAGTAATGTAATATCAGCCCATTCTCTTCATGCTTTTGTTTGTTTGTTTGTTTGTTTTTGGTGCTGGTACTGGGGTTTGAACTCAGAGCCTGATAGCTATCCCATACTTTTTTGCTAGAGGTTGGTACCACTTAGCTACAGCTCTACTTCTGGCTTTTTGATGGTTATTTGGAGATAAGAGTCTTATGGACTCTCCTGACCTGGCTGGCTTTGAAACATGACCCTCAGATCCCAGCTTTCTGAGTAGCTAGGATTATATAGGCATGAGCCACTGGTACCCAGCCTCTTATTCATTTCTTAGCCTTAATACTAATATTTTTGTAGGTCATTCCAAGTTGTTTTGTGGAAGCATGGACAAGTACATATAATATCTTTATTGGTTTCTGTTAGGAAGTTGCTAGTGGTACCAAGAGCATGAGACTGCAGTGGAATAACACTTGCAAACTTTCCATAGGGACTGACACTCAACTGGATAAGGAAGCCTGCTGAGTTCTGTGGAAGAGGACAAGGAGGTGTCAGGAACCAAGGATGCTTCCACTCAGACTTTAGGATTGTAATTTTCTTTTTTTTTTTTTTAATTTTGGTCCGGTTGTGGGGCCTGAACTCTGGGCCTGGGCGCTGTCCCTCAGCTCTTCAGCTCAAGGCTAGCACTCTACCACTTGAGCCACAGCGCCACTTCCGGCTTTTTTCTTTTTGCTTATGTGGTGCTGAGGAATCGAACCCAGGGCCTCATGCATGCAAGGCAAGCACTCTACCACTGAGCCACCTTCCCAGCCCAGGATTGTAATTTTCTTGAAGTAATTTCAACTATGTATTGTCAAACTTTACAATTTCTCAAGAAAAGTCTAGATTTCTATTAGGTTTGGAAGGAATCCTGGTTTTTGAAAGGTGGGTCAATTATTGTTTACATTTGTATCAGTCCTAGGGCTTGAACTCAGGACCTGAGTACTGTCCCTGAGGTTTTGTTGTTTGTTTTTGCTCAAAGCTAGTACTTTACCAATTTCTACTTTCAGCTTTTTGCTAGTCCATTAGAGATAAGAGTTTTGTGGACTTTCCTGGCTGGGCTGACTTCTAACCTTAATCTTCAGGTCTCAGTTTCCTGAGGTGTGAGCCACTGGTGTCCAGACTAAGAACTCACATTTAAAAAAAATATTCTCCACCAATATAAGGTAAGAGAACAAAACTGGATTTAGAGATTTGCATAACAAAGAGACTAATATGGCATCAGCAACTTAAGAATGTGTTAAGACAGCCAGGTGCCTGTGACTCATGCCTATTATTCTAGCTACTCAGGAAGTTGAGATATGAGGATTGAGGTTTGAAGTCAGCCCCAGTAGGAGAGTCCCTGTAACTCTCCAATTTAACACCAAAGAAATCAGAAATAGAGCTGTAGCTCAAGTGCTAGAGCACTAGCCTTGAGCACAAAAAGCTCAGGGACAGCACTCAATCCCTGAGTTCAAGCCCCAGGCTGGTCTCTAAATGATAATAAAAGCTGGAAATGGAGCTGTAGCTCAAGTGGTAGAGTGCTAGCCTTGAGCAAACCAACTCAAGAACAGCACTCAGGCCCTGACTTCTAACCCCAGGATGAGCACACACACACACACACAGAGAGAGAGAGATTAAGAGGGTAGATATCAAGTTAAATGCTCTTGTTATGACAGCTAGTAATACAAGCAAAGGGAGATAAGGCAACTTCTGGAAGGCAATGCATATCACTGATGAATGTGCTTGGCCAAACTTACCCACTTATCTACACTGAATGTGTAGTTTGTATATCCATTGTACCTCCACAAACATGTTAAAAACAACAACAACAAACAGCTGGGCACTGGTGGCTCATGCCTGTAATCCTGGCTACTTAGGAGGCTGCAATCTGAGAATTTCAGTTCAAAGCCAACCCACGCAGGAAAGTCCTTGAGACTCTTATCTCCAATGAACCATCAGACAAACCAGAAGAGGTGCTGTGGCTCAAAGTGGTAGAGCACTAGCCTTGGGCAAAAGAGCTCAAGACAACACCCTGGCTCTGAATTTAAGCCCTACAACTGACAAAAACAAATAAACAACAAAAAAAACCCAGCCAGGTGGGTACTCATGGATCACACCTGTAATCCCAGCTACTTAAGGGGTTGAGGATCCAGATTTAAAGCCATCCTGGGCAGGAAAGTCCATGAGACAATTATCTTCTATTAACCTGCAAAAAGTCAGAAGTGGAGTTATGTCTCAAGTGGTAGAATGCCAGTATTGAGAACACATAGCCCTGAATAGCCTCAGTGTCAGCACCAAACCAACAAGAAGACTGTACCAAGCCAGACTTGATCCAGACGTAGGTCTTTTGTCTTAAAGATGCCTAGGAAAAGGAATCCAGAACCTGGGGAGGAGGAGGAGGAGATGGAAGAGGAAGATGAAGAAAGGAGGAGGAGCGGGGGGGGAAGGGAGGGAGGGAGGAAGGGAAGGAAGGAAGGAAGGAAGGAAGGAAGGAAGGAAGGAAGGAAGGAAAGGGAAGAAAGAAAGGAAAGCACTGGACCTGAAATTGGGAAGCATCCTTAGTTTGTGGGCACATTTTCAGCATCCTAATACAAGAAGAAGGTTAGCTATGACATGTGACTATGTCCAGAAGTGTCTTAGCAGGACCTCCAAAGATATGTAAGCATGGGAAAACAACTTTCCATTCATCTTTTAGTCATAAATGTCCACAGAAGTGACCCACCTTTCCAATATTGCTGCAAACAGTGAGCAGAATTTTTAAAGATAAACAGAAGAATAAAATATAAGAAAAGAGGAAACAGTGGGACCTCAGACAAGGAATTCTTTTTGCCAGTCCTGGGGCTTGAACTCAGGGGCTAGGCATTGTCCCTGAGCTTCTTTTGCTTAAGGCTAGCACTCTACCACTTGAGCCATAGCACTATTTCCAGCGTTTTTGTTGTTTTTTATGTGGTACTAGAAATCAAACCCAGGACTTCATGCATGCTAGCCAAGCACTCTACCCCTAAGCCACATTCCCAGCCCCAGACAAGGAATTGTTAATTTCACCCTCTCTTTCCAATAAAAGTATGATCAGAATATGTTTTGTGTTCTTTTTCTTTTTGGTCGGTCGTAGGCCTTGAACTCTGGGCCTGGGCACTGTCCCTCAGCTCTTCTGCTCAAGGCTAGCACTGTACCACTTGAACTATAGCGCCACTTCCAGTTTTCTGGTGTTTTATTGGAGATAAGAGTTTCATGGACTTTCCTGCCCGGGCTGGCTTTGAACCATGATCCTCAGATCTCAGCCTCCTGAGTAGCTAGGATTACAGGTGTGAGCCACTGGCGCCCGGCATGTTTTGTGCTTTGAGAAGGATAGACTTCATATTTATGCACATTATTATGTATAATATACAAGCAATAACATTTTGATCTATATTTGTTTTACATAACTCCCCCCCCCCGCAAGTTACAAAAAAGTACTAAGCTGTCAACCACTGACTGTTTACAATGTTCTCAGAATATAGGATTATTTTAATTCTCTAATGGTTTCTTCAAGTTTTTCCTTAAGGGCCCCATGAAACTCATACACTTTTTCTTCTTTTTTATAAAACTGAAAGGTTGGAAGACATTCAACTGAACACACTTTCACCACCTCTTCACAGTCATCAGCATCCACTTCCAGAAACATCACATCCTCATACTTCACAGACAAGGAATGGTAGAATGGCCTGATAATCCTACAAGAGTTGCACCAAGAGGCTGAGAAGTTCACTACTACCAGCTTATGCTCTGCCTCCCTGAGCATGTCCTTGAATTCATCATGGCTCAGAATCATGTTCACCAGGGTTTCCTTTGGGTATTCTGTCAATTCTTCTTGGAAATTTTCAAGGGTGCTTTTCATGGGCTGCTGCAAGGTTTCCTCTGAGACATTGATGATGCTGCCCTTCTTAGGCAGGATGGATTTGTATAAGGGTTTGACTTCCTTGAACTTGTTGGTATATACTGAGGACTTTGGGATGCCAAATTTTTTGGACTTGTTGGTTTCCCCTGAAAACTTGGGGATTGTCTCATCGTTAGGTAGAATAGTTTTCACCAAAGACTTGCGATGTAAAGTGTATGCTGAGGACTTGGGGGTACTATCCTCACTGAACTGGCTATTTTCTTCTAAGGACTGGAGGAGGACCCCTGGCTTGTATTGGATAGTTTTTACTAATTCCTTCAGTTGTGTGTAGTCTGAGGACTGGAGGATATCTTCCTTATTGGCCTGGTCAATTTCCTCTAAGGACTTGAACATGGTCTCCTGCTTGGGAGGCACTGGTTTTTCCAAGGACTTTAAGGTATCTCCTGGCTTGAGTTGGATGTATGCTGAGGACTGGGGGATGTCATCTTCATTGAGTTGGTCAGTTTCCTCTGAGGACTTGTCCTTTCCCTGAGGAATAGTCCTGAGTTTGGGATGAATGGTCTGTGTTAGGAACATGGGAATGCCACCTTCATTGGATTGGCTGGTTTCCTCTGAGGTCTTGGGGATGGTCCTCTGCTTGGGATGAATAGGTTTTGCCATGGACTTGAGGACATCTTGTTTAGGTTGCATGGGTACAGAGGACTTGGGGATGCTGCCCTCATTAGACTGGTGGGTTTTCTCTGAGGAGTTGGGGATGGTCCTTTGTCTAGGTTGAACTGTCTGTGTTGCAGACTTGAGGAAACCACCCACATAGGACTGGACAGATTCCTCTGGGGACTCAGAAGTACCACTTTCATTGAACTGGCTGTTTTCCTCCACGTCCTGAGGGATAGTCTTCTGTCTGGGCCCAATGGTCTGTGCTGAAGGCTTGAGGAAACCACTCACATAGGACTGGACAGATTCCTCTGGGGACTCGGAAATACCACTCTCATTGAACTGGCTGTTTTCCTCTGCATCCTGAGCACTAGTCTTCTGTCTGGGCCCAATGGTCTGTGCTGAAGACTTGAGGAAAACACCCACATAGGGCTGGACAGATTCCTCTGGGGACTCGGAAATACCACTCTCATTGAACTGGCTGTTTTCCTCTGTGGCCTGAGGGGTGGAATCCTGTTTGGGCTGGATAGTTTTTGCCATGGACTTGGGGATTCCACGATGCTTAGAAGGGATAACAGGTACTGCGGACTTGGGAATGGTTCCCCTTTTTGCTGAGACCTTTGGTGTGTTGCCCATTTTAAACTGGGATTTTGGTGGGGACTTAAGAACAGTCTCCTGTTTGGAGTCATCTGGCTGGAAACTGATGGAGATGGTGTTTATTGAGAAATTAGGGATATTGCTATTCTGCTGTGAGGCCTCAGGCTTCTCTCTGGACATATGGAGTAAGTGGCTGACCACCGAACAGAGGCCTTCTCTTTGGTATGGGCTATGTCCAAGAACTCTGAGATCAGAACAATTGTATTTCTGGAAGAAAAAAAGTTGTAGTGAAGTTTTTGAACAAAAAATAAGTAAATAAAAATGCAAAAGAAGAAACAAACAAAACACTTGATGTCCTTCTCAGAAAAACAAATGAAGTCTGATTAAGTATTCACTGAATAACTTCACTCACCAGGAGACCAAGTAATAGATGATTCCCTGCATCTCTCTCTCCCTCCTTCTCCCCCCCTCCATACACACACACACACACACACACACACACACACACACATACACACACACATATGCACACACATACACACACACAGTTTTCATGACAACTGATTCTTGGTTCAACACTGACACCTACTTAATGCAATTCTTCTCTTCCTTTCTCCCCTTTACCACTGATATCACCTTCATTTGTTTCTCTCTCTCTTTCTCTCTCTCTTTCTCTTCTCCCCCTTTCTGGAGTGGGGGGCGGGGTGCCAGTACTACTTGGGCTTGAACTCAGAACGTCAAGCTCTCAATTGGTTTTTGCCATTTAAGGCTGATATTCTACCACTTGAGCCATACCTTCATTTCTGGCTTTCGATTGTTAATTGAACTTAAGTTTCTATCCAGGCTGATTTTGAGCCTGAATCCTTAGATCTCAGCTTCTTGAGTAGCTAGGATTATAGGAGTTGGCCACCAGTGCCCAGCTCATTTGTTTCTTCTTGATTGTTCTATTTCATTTCTGGTTCTTTTTGGGACTCCAGCTTGAACAACTTCTATTTACAGCTCTTTGTTCTACCTCTATTCCTGATCTTTCATAGATGTTTCAGAGTGAAAGCTTTACTCCACCATAAAACTTTTTTCTGGTTTATCTAAATTGATAACAAAATGTGAGTTACAGCTTATACTCAGGTAGCACTTACAGTTGGTCTTCTCCATCAGTACTCCCAACAGTGATACCTGAGAGCTTCAGCACAGTCTTGGTGCTGGTGGCTACACTGGATGAGGCTGTGGTGACATATACATCCACAGGCATTATTTCCTAAAGCACCACAAACCACTGACATCAGTGCCATTATGATCAGCACTTTACAGATGGGAAAGCTGAGCCTTACAGAAGATACATAGCTCATTTAAGGTCACAAAGCAGGGATGAGGGCTGGGCCTAAAGTCCATACTCAGAATAGCTGTACTAGACTCTGATCTTTGTTGAATTTCCTGTCCAGACTGGGTAATGTAAACAAATGTTCCTATAATCTACCTCCAGGGTTCTCTAGACCCTCCTTTCTCTTTATGACTTTCTTATTATGTTAGTACATTTTTTGTTACTATAACAAAACATTCCAGGCTGGAAATTTTATGAAAAGAGAAATTTAGGGGTAGGGCATAGATGTAGTGGTAAAGTGCCTAACAACACCTCATGGTATATAAACATGAGGTCCAACAATGATGGAGTAGATCAAGAGGAAGAAATCACAGGGTAACACAGGTAGCCAGAGCATGGGGAAAAGCCAGACCTTCTGCTAACAACCTTCTCACAAGAACTCTGTATCTCAGGTTCATGAGAACTACCTCAATCCCTTCCAAAGGCAGTACTGCCAACTACCCTCTTGCCCCTCCCCCATGCCCTGACAAAGTACCTCACCACCTCTTAAAGGTCCTACCACCTCTCTGCTGCCACATTGGGTACCAAGCTTCCAAAGTGAGCTTTTAGAAGACATACCATATGGAAACCACAGCATAACTACATGTCCCAAGATCATTCTAGCCTTTTTTGGAAAACTGTCACCTGATGGCAAATGTCCAGCTTCTGTCATATAGCCTCTGTCCCCATCTTCCACCTCCATGAGCTTCACCTATACTTTTTCAGTACCTCCAGTTTACCATCTTCTTACTCTCACCCTCCTTGTGCTCCATCCTAGCCCATTCTGTAGAATTGAAATCCAATCCCTTTCCTCAGTAATGAGGAGGGAGTTGAGTGGTGGAAAGCTTGCCTGGTATGTATAAGACCCTGGGTTAGATCCTTAGCACATAAATACCTTTCCTCCAGGAATATCTGGAAGTCTGTCAGTTTTAGACTACTTGTTTATTTCCAATCTCTTTAGAACACATGCAGCTCAAGATATGGGTCAACATAGAGTTTTATATTCTTGATGTATACTTTTTTTGTTTTACCACATCAGTGTGAGAGTTGAAACTAAAAAGATTGCCTAAGTAAAATGGAAGCTTCAGAACATCTATTATTATTTATACCAAAACATATTTTGTATGTATGTGGATGCTGATACTGGGAGTTGAACTCAGGGCCTCCTGCTTTTGTTTGGCTATTTTGCTCAAGATTGGCACTATATAGCACTTGAGCCACAGCTCTGCCCCAGCTTTCTGCTGGTTAACTGCTGATAAGACTTTTCTTCCTGGTCTGGTCCCATGCCACAATTCTCAGATCTGTCTCCTGAGTAGCTCAGATTACACATGTGAGCTACCATCACCCAGCTGAAATGAATTTTTAAGGGGGAGTGGAGATGGAGGAAAGAGATATTGGTCTTAGCAAATTCATAATTTTTAATATTGTTACTTAATCCTTTTCTAAGGAAAGAGTTCATCCTGACAAAATAAGCTATTTCTTTCCTGGCTGATTGGCTTTGGGTAAAGAGTTAACAGAACTTTAGGATATAATGTATGAATCTATTCTCTACTATAAAAGGCTTCAGCAGCTGATTGTGCAACATTTTAAAGCAGATAATGAGAATAAATATCAGACACTTATCATCTAATATCTTCTTCCTTAGTATTAGGAGAAAGGAAGCAAAAACATAAGATTGGACATAAGTAATCTAAGTCCTTCTGTTGGTCAGCTTTCCATCAATGCAACAAATACCTGAGATATCAATTTAAAAGCGGAAAGGTTTGTGTCAGGGGCTAGTGGTGGCTCATGCCTGTATTCCTAGTTACTCAGGAGACTGATCTGAGAGTCATGGGTCAAAGCCAGCCTGAAAGGCAAATCTAGTTCCTATGTTCTTATGTTAATGGGAAAAAAAGGCAGAAGTAGAGGTATAGGTCAAATGGTAGAGCACCAACCTTGAGTGAAAAAGCCAGCCAAGCAAGAGTGCAAGGTTCTGAGTTCAAGCCCCAGTACTGGCACAAAGAAAGAAGGAGAGAGAGACAGAGACAGAGGAATGAAGAAAAGAAAGAGAAAGAAAGGAAAAAAGAGAGAGAGCAAGAAAGGCATATTTGTTTTGGACTCAAAGTTTTGGATATTTTAGCAGATAGTCAGCTAGCCCCATTCCTTTGGACCTGTTGTTAGATGGTATATTATGGCAGGTGAATGTGACAGAGGAAATTATTTACCTCATGGTGGCTGGGAAGCAAGGAAAGAGAAGGGCCTGGGGTTCTACTGTCTCTTTCAAGGTCATAGCCTCCAGTGACCAGAAAATATCCCATTGGGCCTCATCTCTTAAGGTCACTACCACTTACAATAGTGTCACAGGCTGGAGGTCAAGCCTTTAATGGGCATTTGATAGACATTGAGCCAATTCTTTTGCTGTTGTTGGTAGTGGTGGTGATGGTGGAGGTGATGGTAGTGGAGCTTAAACTCTGAGCCTGGGCTCTGTTCCTCAGTTCTTCAGTTCAAGGCTAGCACTCTACCACTGGAGCCACAGCACCACTTCCAGTTTTGTTAGTGGTTTATTGGAGATAAGAGTCTCATGGACTTTTCCTGCCCTGGCTGGCTTTGAACCACAATCCTCAGATCTCAGTCTCCTGAGTAGCTAGGATTACAAGTATGAGCTACCGGTGCCCCACTCACAGTCCTTGTAGTTGTGTCTAGGATAAGGCTAGGTTGACTGCTTCACATGGGAAAACAGCAAGAGGCCAGAGCACTTGGCACAGCTATGTTTACCCCTAGATAGTTGGAGGGAAGTGGAGGAATTGAAACACTGACCTGCTATCACCAAGAGAAAGTGTTCTTTACCCTGAAATCCTACAAACAAGCATTTATAATTTGGTATCTCTGCTCTTTGAGGAGATACGGCTGTAGGGGGGAAAGAGTTTATCTATTTAGAAAATGTTTATGCTACATTGTATCTTAGATAAAATGCGGAGATCTGTGACCCTGAGCTGTTTTCCTTCCCAGTTTTAGGTTACAATTTTGCCTGCTAGGTTCTAGTAGTTCCTACTCTTCCTCCCACACTTCACATGGTTTCCAAGGAACTTGAAATATTGATGGCTCTCCTCATAAAATATATGTTTTCCTTCAGTACAAGCTGTCTGCAAATTGCTCAAGAGTCTTTATGTATGTGAGGGTTGTGTCTCGGGAAACAGAAACCACCACCTATTTTTGGCATAGGATAGCTTAGGCAATAATAAAACATATGGAAAAGCTCCTATTGAGGTTAAGGGTCCAGGAGCATTTCCCAGAATGCTGGAAGGCCTTCAGGGCTACTGTAGCCTCAGGAACCCTAGAAAAGCAGGGAGGGAATCAGAGACCACCACTGTCATAGCTGGGCTGGCTGCAGGAACTTTCTGCTAGAGCTGTATCTAGCATGAACCACCATGGTCTAGACTTCCTCTCTGCTTAGAGGTAGAGGTAAATGAACGTTGGTATTCTGCTCAAACAGTCTTCCCACCTGGCACCTTGCAGGAGGAACAGAGCAAGGAGTGAATAATGGCCTCAACAGGCTCATTTGTTGGTGGAATCTTAATTTGCACCCAGAATGCAAGGAAGTTGGTATCAACACAAAGTGGGAATTCATTTCTACCCTTACAAAGACAACATTAGAGACTAGCTTTAAAAAAAATATGGGAAAGTGGCTCAGTGGTAGAGTGCTTACCTCTCCTGCATGAGGCCCTGGGTTCAATTCCTCAGCACCACATAAGTAGAAAAAACTGGAAGTGGTGCTGTGGCTCAAAGTGGTAGAGCACTAGCCTTGGAGAGCTGAGGGACAGCGCCCAGACCAGAGTTCAGGCTCCACAACTGACATAATAATAACACACACACATACACACACACACACACATTATCCTGATATAAATGTGTGCTTTTATACTTTCATAAACAATACACATTTATAATAAAAAAATTAGAAAACATCCCTAAAAAGGAAACAAAAATTACTTATCACATGCATTTTCAGGGATCATGGGCACTAGGTCCATTGTTGGTCTTTTTCTGCCCACATGCAGATATTTTCAAATGAGACATTTTCAAACAGATTTTATTTTCATAATCATATTTCCTTAAGAATGTATTCTTGGAAGTGGAGGTATGGCTCAAGTGGTAGAGCACTGGCTATGAGCAAAAAAAGCTAAGGGACAGCACCCAGTCCATGAGTTCAAGCCCCAGAACCAGCACCAGAAAAATAAATGAAAGAAAAATAGTATATTCTGGTGCTCTCTCCCAGAAAAGGGACCCAGTGATGGTGCTTTGACACAATAGCTCCTCCCTCAATTGTCCCTCTCTCCCTCACACTGAGGCTTCCTGGCCAGTGTCTGTACAGATAGCACAGTTCTTGCTTTATTATGGACTTTTATTCCTAGACTCCTTAGGAATAAACCTGGTAACTTCAAAATATTGGAAAGTTCTACCTCAATTAGTTTATCTGATATATTGCTCATGGGTGGTGAACTTTAAGCAGAAAAACAGAAGTAAAGTGATTTTTCCCACCAGTTGTGGGTCTTGAACTCAGGGCCTGGGTGCTCTCCCTGAGTTTTATCACTCAAGTCTAGTGCTCTACCACTTTGAGCCACAGCTCCACTTCTGGCTCTTTTGTGTGATTGATTAGAGATAAGAGTCTCACAGACTTTCTTGCCTAGGATGGCTTCCAATGCAATGTTCACATCTCAGCCTCCCTAATAGCTAGGATTACAGGTGTGAGCCACTGGCAACCAGTGAATGGGTGATGGGTGAATCCCATCAGTGAGATAGAGGAGAAGATGAAGAGGTTGAATTGGAAAGCTGGTGAATGCAGGTAACTCTTCTTGCAGAGACCTGCAGCCCTGTGAATATACAACACTTAGAAAACTGAGCCATGAGAGCAG